AAGAAGGAGAGAATTAAAATATGGGTAAACAAGGCTAAAGCATTAAGAACACTCAAAGGCAGGACGCCTCGAGCTGTTGCTAGCTCATTTTCAGCTGCATAAATACACACAAAAAAATTGCGAGAAGTTTCCACAACACTAAGAGACTTATCCACCGGGATTAAGGGAACTGTGGATTTCTCCCGCATTGTCTCCTTGCCCTATGTACCGCTTCTGTCAGAAATCTAACATCTATCCTCAAGTGTTTTGGTTTTACCGTAGCCCACTCTAACTACAATAAGCTAAAATTTCTGTCGTCACAGCTAAAGTCTAAGTGCTCCCTTGATCAGCGCTGGGGTGTTGTGTACAGGTTACAGTGTAAGGACTGTCAAATTGGCTACGTTGGGCAAACAAAACAGTTTCTACGAAAAAGGATTGCGGTTCATAAGTATAATCGCGTGGAAAAAACAGCCTTACATTATCACGAGGACAATCATGGTCATCTAAAGAAAAAAAAAAAAAAAAAAAAAAAAAAAAAAAATCATGGCCATCTTTTAGATTTTGAAAATCCTAAGTGTTGGGGGTTTAACATAGAGACTTTGCCAGGGGTGTGTTAGAAATGATTCATATCGTGAAAGATAGAGACAAATTATGCAACTTTCGAGCAGACGTGGAAGGTTCAGGGGCTGCATATCGCCAATTTTTTTAATGAAGTGGCCTCAGTAAGTGCACGTCTGTCATCTGTCCGTATTTCGCGTGCAGATGTGCGAGCAGGGGTTGCCTACCCATCGTCTACATTGGTTGGTGTGAAGGCGGCCACTACGAGTATGTCTGCCTCGGATGTTCGGTACTGAATTCCAGTGGTTACGTGATAACGGCTGGGGTCAGGTCGCCACTCAATTTTTTATTTGTTTTTTATGTATTTTTCAGCTGAAAATGAGCTGGTAACAGCTCGAAACGTCCTGCCTTTTAGGGTTTTTAATGTTTTAACCTTGTTTACCCATATTTTAATTCTCTCCTTCTTAAATATACGTCCAAATAACGTCAATTTTAGTGCACTTATTACTATAACTCCTCGTATCTCTTGGTTTTTTCGAAAATTGTCGGAAAAATGTTGCTGTTTCGGCTAAATCAGTCAGTTCGCTGGATTAGATTATCCGAATTTTAAACAGAAATCAATTCCGAAAATTTAGGTATCACTGCTTTCTTTGAGAACATGCTCGAACTGACGAAGACAGAGGGGAGATGCTAGAGTACCTGTATACGGGAGAGTATGGCCATCTTAGTGCCGCTCTTTGAGTAGTTCATCAGTTTTTGACTATCATGGAGCTTCAAGGTTGGCCTAATATAAACAAACCCGACCCAGAGGAACACGTATTATCGGCTGAGAAATAATGATTGATACCACTCAAAGCTTAATTTTCGGCAAAAGTATCTACCAAAGTTCGATCCGAACTCAATTCAGGAGTTGGATGTAAAAATATTTCTATCTCATTCAAAATGACGTCTGGAATAACTTTTTAGAGCTCTTTCGCCATCTTGTTTGCTTATATTGGGCCAAACTAAGAGCAGAGAAACTGGGGGCTTGTTTACATCGGGTCAATTTTGGGGCTGCACGATAGCCGACCAATCAGAGAGCGGCACACTTTGTCTGTGGTAAAAGGATTCAGATGGCAATACTCTCCCGTATACAGGTACTCTAGAAGATGCTGACCAAAACTTTGATGAGCCAAAGTCGGATTGCATTTTGCAAAAAAGAATACCAAGAGCGTTGCAATGTTGCTGAAATTGTGCAATTCCTTTTGTCTTGGGAGAAAAACCTGCTCATCTATAAAAATTTTCTATTTTACACGCTAAAAACTGTAAATTTAAGACAAAAATTACCATGTAAATTCTATGTATTCCCATGATTACAGCGGTTTTATATCTAAGAGCGGAGTTGAACAATCTTAGCAACATGGCAATACTATTGGTTCCTTTTTGCAAAATGCAATCCAGTTCAGCCCCTGTAACGAAAAATTCCGGTCACCAAGACCGAAATATATTGTGTTTATTGAATGAAGATGTTGCATGTGTGAGGAATTTGCAATTTGACTGTTGATTCTCGTGTAACAGTTTGCGAGAAACACGATGGTGCCTCTGGTTTTCTCTAAAATTAACTCCCAAGCTCAAAAAAAGCTCTCAAGTTGAGACCAAAATGGAGGGGATATCCCACGCTATCCTGAGAGTTTACCTCTACGTCAAAACAAACTCTCTCCATGCAAAGATAGGAAGCAAATACATTGACAGGGCTGCCACTTTATTTGGGGACTCTAAAACTGAAAACACGGCAACCCTGCTAATGTATTTACTCCCTATCTTTGCATGGAGAGTTTGTTTTGATGTAGAGGTGGACTTTCAGGATGACGTGGGATATTCCCTCCATTTTGGCCTCAACTTGAGAGCTGTTTTTGAGCTTGTGAGATGATTTCAGAGGTAACCAGTAGCACCATCGTGTTTCTCGCGAACTTTTACATGAGAATCAACAGTCAAATCGCAAATTCCTCACACATAGGTACAACATCTCCATTCAATATCTTCTTTTCGTGCACCGTACCTACATCAAATGTATTGCATTTTGCAAAAACCCGCCCGGCAAGGGAGCAATGTGTACGTTGCCGCAACGTTGCAAGGCAACATTTTTGATGATATTGCTTTGTAAGGTAAAGCAGCAACGTTTAAGCAATGTTTCAGCAATTTTGCCTGACATTATATTTTAGACAATATTTTCAAAACGTTTTTAGAAATGTTTCTGGAACATTATTAAAAAACGTTTCAATAAATATTTCTTAGATATATTGTGACAACGTTGTTAAAAATTATTAGTCAGGGAGAAACACGATTTGACCCGGAACAAATTGCTCAACAAACTTTTCCTGTGTAAACGTTATCAGTAGGTCCTCCTGAACAACATACCAGAAGTTTACCACGGTCCGACCCCGGAACACCCCCCAAAATGCCTAAATTTCAAAATGGCGGCCATAATCAGGCCTCTGGGATTTCGGTTTTTTAAAATGCGCATATAGTGTCATGTGAGGTATCAATCCCTGTGTAATTTTGGTCGTAGAACTCAGACATGAGGTCAGGCAGATGCTGTGCTGCAAATCGGAGAGGACACTTTTACACTGTTTCAGGTGTTCTCCTTTCTGTTGTTTCTCAACAGATGATTTTCTCCAATCAATATAAGGGAATGCGCCCTCATACAATGTCGCAAAAATATGTATATGTATATACAAAAATAAACAAAAATTAATTGACCGATAATTAAAAAAATAAAAAAATTAACAATAAAAATATACAAATGAAGATAAAATTAAAAAAGATAAAAAAATAATTTAAAAATAAAAAATAAATAAAAAAAATAAATATAAATAATTAGAAAATAATTTAATACAAAATAAAAATACCAAATAATTATAATAATAAAACATAATTATAATATAATTAAAGCAATAATTAAAATAATAATAATTTTATTTATATAAAATGAATATATTTATTCAATTCTTTTTTAATTTTTTTTCATACTCCTTTTTTTTAAAAACTTGATCTTCCTAATATTATGTTCAGTATCCTTCGTTTTAGAATTATGCACAGAAATGCAAGAATATCATTGCTTTCTATCATTGAACCAGATCTAGGGATGTTTATTAATGCTAAATAACCGATCTCTCTCACGCGAGCGTCCGTAGCTGAGTGGCAGCGACACACGGGCGATCACTGAAGTTCAGCAACGTCGGGTGTAGTTAGTACTTCGATGGGAGCCCGCTTGGGAACCCGGGCGGAGCGCGGCTACTATCGGACTTGGAGTGAAAATCGGGTGCCTAAGCAACACTTCTCTACGGCCCACATTGAATTCTAGGAGTAAAAATGCAGAGTACTCCTACAAAAAATCACCGAAATTTTTTCACCGTATTTTTGCAACATTCCCATTATGTTGCTAAAACGTATTTTTGCAACATTCCCATTATGTTGCTAAAACACATTGCAGACACATTGCCAATTACGTTCATGCAAGCTGACAAAATTACACGTTGTGGCAACGTTACCACAACGCTGCCCGAATACGTAAACGGCGAAATTGCAACGTTTTGGCAACGTTGCCACAACGTAATTTTGCCGGGCGGGAAGGAACCACTAGCATTGCAATGTTGCTAAGATTGTGCAACTTCTTTTGACTTGAAGGAAAAACCCGATTATCCATTAATAGTTTCTATTTTACTCGCTAAAAACTATGAATCTGAGACAAAAATACCATCTAAATTTCATAGTTTTTCACGATTTCCGCGCAATTTTATTGCTAAAGATTAAGTGGATTGCATTTTGCAAAAAGGGACCAATAGCATTGCAATGCTGCTAAGATTGAGCAACTTATTTTGTCTTGGAAGAAAAACCTGATTATCTATTAACATTCTCTATTCTACTCGCTGAAAACTGTAAATTAAAGGCAAAAATTATCCTGTAAATTTCATGTTTTTTCATAATTTCAGTAATTGCATTGCAGAGGGTGAAAATGCACAATCTTAGCATCATTGCAATTCTTCTGGTTCCTTTTTGCTAAATGTAATCCAAGTTGCACAATCTTAGCATCATTGCAATTCTTCTGGTTCCTTTTTGCTAAATGCAATCCAAGTTGCACAATCTTAGCATCATTGCAATGCTAGTGGTTCCTTATTTTTGCAAAATGCAATCCGAACAAAAAGAATAAGAAACCCAAATCCGGGAACACCCCGGACGCGCGGCCAGGTCGGTGTGAACGCGCCGCGACCATATGCTCCGCTCGCGAGTCGTGACGTCACCCCGATCCCGATGGGCGGGGGAGGGGTGGAGGGTGCACTTGCGCCGCGCTCGGGCCGCCCCGCCACCCCCGGCGAAAAACGCGTATCCTCCGCGGCGACCCGGCGGGAGTTGGGCGGTTGCCGGGCGCGCGGCGCATCGATCCCTCGCTCGCGTGACGTCACGCCGTCGACCGCCCCCGCACGGCCGCGGCGCTCCATTCACCGTCGAGCACTCGAACCGCGCTCACGCTCCCCCGCGAGAGGAAACCGCGCCACCCCGTGCACGCCTCGAGATCCGGAGTCTCCCGGTAGTGGTCGTTTTGTGTCTGTGTGAGTGTGTGTTTACGTCCTTCCGGTTTTCATCATGTGAGTACCTGGCACTTGTATTTTTTTATTTTTATTTTTATTTCTTTTTTTAATACTTCAAATAGCCCTTACTGGGAAAAAAAAAAAAAAAAAAAAAAAAAAAAAAAAAANAAAAAAAAAAAAAAAAAAAAAAAAAAAAAAAAAAAAAAAAAAAAAAAAACACATTGGATCTAGAGTCCAGACTCTTAAAAACATCGATTCAATCAGATTTAAGCTTAATTTAAGAACCAAGCCTCTTAATTTGAGCGGATTTCCTTTTGATTTAAGCTTAAATCTGAGTGAATCAAGAGTCCTTTTTTCTTGTCAATGTTTTCAAGAGTCTGGACTCTAGATCCAATGTGTTTTTTTTTTTTTTTTTTTTTTTTTTTTTTTTTTTTTTTTTTTCCAGTGCACGAGGGCTAATCTTTGCGCTTCAGTCACGTCCCCCTCCGTCGCTACAACCAGTCCCACTCAAACATTGTTTGAGACGACCAAACTCAGGTCGCCTGGACGGGAATCGAATGCGGGACCTCCTGGTCGTAGAGCTAGCTCATAGCCGAGCAAAGATGCTAGAGCTTATGGGAGGAACTTATCAAAAAAACCATCAAGTGAACGTGCCGGAGGGGGACGGAGCATACGACGCGTTTAATCGTGTTGGACAAATTTCTTGTGAAAGCCATGTCAACACTAGTAGCAAAAGTTTACGGAACCTTGCGCGAAAGTTAAGTTCCGTAAACCTATCTCTGTGTGGACAAGGCCTTCTATTTATAATAAATGAACGAAAAAATTATGAAAGAATAAATATAAATGCGGTTTAATAAGTTTAACCCTCCATGGCATGAATTAATTTTGGATCTCAGATTCTAGAAGACACTAATCTATTTTGTAACTTGCATAAAAAAAATAGAGTACCAAATTTTTTGTTAAAATTTTAAGGGAATTAGTTTTTCAAAAAAAGAAAAAACCAACGAAATTTTGTGAAATTATGGCACAAGGGAAATATTCAATTTTTCAAATCCCCGAAAATAGGTTGTTACAAATTCGTAACGCTATGCCATAGATGGTTAACTTCCGCCGCCGCGCCGCACTAACCGCGTGAAGTATTCCTCCAGTCTTGTAGGCGCTATGCGTTTCACGCCGACCGCTACTGAACGCACTGTGTTTGGCACAATGCGTGAAGTATTCATGCAGTCTTGTAGGCGCTGATACGTGTTACATGCCGATCGCCGCGACGATGGCTTCTCCTTTCCATCTCAAGTCCTCGTCATCATTGCTCTCTGCGCCGCGTCGTTCCAGGCAAAATTGCGTGTTTCGTTTCTCTCTCAACTCGACTAATTAAAGGTGCCGTCTCTTGTATCGCCGAAAGACGACAAAATTAGAAATCACTATACTCTCAGGAAATGAGAGATTTTGTCGCCTTTTTTCGTTTGTAATTTTTTTCTGAATCCGATTTCTTTTTACCCACATTTAAAACTATTGAAAGATTTGCCGCCCCCTAAATTTGCCGCCATAGGCTGCGGCCCATGTGGCCACCCCCTAAATCCGGCCCTGCATGCTGAATAAAACGGGGGTCATTTTCAAATTTAATCATTATTATTCATTGGTTTCCTGGGATTAGAAACATATCTCCACCTTCGTGTTTCGACGAAAAATGAATTGAAAGTACACGCACAGCCGAAAAGTAGATTTTTGATAACTTTGCGTGGCAGCAAATCGTTTCGCACCATTTCATAAATTATTGGCGGCTGCTTAATTTTAAAATGCCCTTTATTTTTACCTTGACGTAGATATTTTCAGAAACACTGAGTCTTTTCGAAAGAACGATTTGTTGGAGGGTAACGGGACAAAATACACATTCCTATCTTACTGAATTCTTGTCAAGTCCTGTTTTCAATCACCATTAGCAAATAATTACTTTCGGAATACAACTTCATACCCCTCGGCGTTTTACGTTCACAGGAAAGAGACACTCAACCTAAAGACAGCTCTACCGTGCTAAGGAGGAACGCCGTATGAACATTCGAGAGTTGCCAAATTGCCCCGGATAAAACATTTATTTTTGAAGACAAATATGCGTATTTTTTCTTCAAATTTTCAGACATTTTAGATAAAATTGCGGACAAAATTGTCTGAAAAAATTGAAGCAAAATATTCACGATTTTCCTTGTAAATTAGATGTTAATCGAAGGGAATATGGCAACGTCTGAATGCTCATACGGCGTTTTTCCTTAGCGTAGCACAGCTCCTTCTCTACCTTGAATTTTGTTTCTATCTCCTCTTTCATTTTCTCGCGGTAGCCCCCCCCTCCCATCTTAAATTGCCTACAGCCCTTCACAAAGGGTTAAATATGAGATTTAATAAAGCTTGAACAATTTGTGCCGGTGATGGAGAATTCTGCCACAACATCTTGATGCGGAGGAGTTTCTTTGTGATCACTCATTGTGGAGAAATGATGCACGACCCTACTTTTTCCCTCTCTCTTTGCGCTGTATTTTTCAGACCGGTGAGTGGGTGAGTAGACAACGTGTGAATTATTGCACTCTCGGAAGTGCCTCCGCTACGTATTTTTTTCGCGAAATCGTCACTCCTCTGACTAAAGAGCGTATCTATATTTCCTCGTGAGCCCTGTTTTACATATGAATCCATGCTTTCTGGAGCTCATGTGGAGATCGAGATACGTCTTTATGTCAGAGGAGCGACGAAATATTCGCGGGAAAAATAATATCCACGAGAGAACTATTTCAGTTGTGTTCTGAAGTCATCCAGTCTGGCGCTTTAATCAGTGCGCTTGAAATTATCTGGTGTAGCGACTTGTAGGCAGTGGGTGAATTTAATGGCTGAAATATTACAATTGGAGGTAACTTTTGTAATTTACTTCAAAAACAACATAAGCATCCTTTCACGGGCACCGCTATTCTTATACGTGAGTTTAGGAGCGTGTGAATATTTCGTTTATTGTCTGCATGTGAGGCCTTGTCTCCATGGGACGTTTTCATGGGATTAGTCCCAAGTTCGAATCACAGGAATGAAACTTCTGGGATTTTTCCCAGTTACCGTCTCCTCGGGACGAGGCTAATACAGCCCTGCGACCAGTTTGCGCGGGAAGATAAATTAGTTAAAGTCGAGTACTTAACCGGGATTAAAATAATAATTACACTCAATCGACAATTAGACACATTATTTTGACAAAACGAACATGAACAATGGAGTAATGAACAAAATATTGCACAATGCATTTTCACTTCCTTTTCCTCTCTCAGTGGGTCCTAAGGAAGAACCATATACTTGGTGCTGGGAAAAATATTGATTAACTTGATATTTTTCTCAACTTCATAAGTGGGATTTTTCCCTGGGACAAATCCCGTGAAACGGCCCGTGGAGACAAGGCCTTGCAGGGTGGAGAAATGGTGCTGGGTCCACACCATTTCGCGAAGAAATCAAAGAACTTTAGAATACCTTAATACCTAACGTAGAATACCTCAAATATTCTTCTCGTTAGAGTCGCGTTTCTGGTAAAGTAATGTACGGTGAATTGTTATCGATTGAGTGATGATTCCACCACGGCTGTTTTCTTTTCCCGCGTCGAATCATCGAGGAAGCACTTCAACAGCGACTAAAAATCAAACGCCCGCGCCCTTTTATTACACGGCAAGGTTTCAAGGTTGGAAAGGTCAGCCCCTGGTAAAAATTACTCAGCGTTGATGCAAGAAAAAATCGACAAAATATTTTTTCAATGATCGTACGCAGCAATCAAGTGAACATTCAGATTTTTTTAAACACCAAGTTTTTTTTGCATATTCGCCGACTGGAATGAAGCTTGAAGCTGTTAAAAATATTATTTTTTTATCATTCGATGTTTCAAAAGTTTATCTGATGCCTAGCAAATTATTTTTCTCCATGATCAGGTGAATGTAACTGCATTACATACTTTCCAGATTTAATCTTCATATTTATGATTCATGCAAGACTAGATGAAAGATCTTATTTATGGTCAGTTTTGCTCGCGCTACATAATCGCTTTTTGGTACTTTAATCTTTGAGTTAAAAAAGAATCAGAACTTAAAACTGCTTAATTATTCTTCAAGCACTCAATTATGATCGAAACATTGCCCTCACACAAATATATCGGATTATGTCATTCACATCACGAACATACGTTCCTCAATTTCTTCCAAACGGATGTAATGTTCGGTCATTTTCTTGATTGGGGGTATCGAAGGTATTGAACACTTAACCATTCCTACTTATTTTGAGTTTATGAAAAATACATCAAACGCGTTTCCTGTAATGTGAGGCGTTAGTGTACAACACACACTGGAAAAAAAAAGCACATTGGATCTAGAGTCCAGACTCTTGAAAACATTGACAAGAAAAAATACTCTTGATTCAATCGGATTTTTGCTTGAATCAAAACGAAATCCGCTTAAATTAAGAGGTTCGGTTCTTGATTTAAGCTAGATTCTGATTGAATCAAGAGTACTTTTTCTTGTCGATATTTTTAAGAGTCTTGACTCTAGATCCAATGTGTTTTTTTTTCCAGTGCAATGGGTATTCAGGGGTAAACATCCGATTTTTCTATACTTTTATACGACTATTTAGACTCTACGGGACTGCTTTTGCCTAAACGCCCAATTGAAGGGGAACCTCATTTGATAAACACGGTTACGCAAAGAAGCTCCTTTTTACGTTCCCTTTCGCTCTCATTCCATCAAAAGAAGCTTCGAAAGTTACTCTAATGAATTTTATGTGACTGCCCGTTAAAAAATGATCCAACACATCCAAACTTTGTTAATTTTATTTCAGGGAACACACCGGGATCTAAACAAATCACCTATGTGTATTTATGAAATCTCTTACTTTGGAACGCAAAAACCCCGAACATCCGACAAAACAGGCGTTGCTCCGAAAATGCGCACCGGCTAATGAAAACAGGAGGGTATAAAAACGACGATTAATCAAGATCGAGCGACGGGAGTGACAGAACTGCTTCCAAACTTTGCAGCATTTCGTAAAACAGCGCA